GCAGAGAGCGGAGAGTTGATCAGAGTGAAGGGTGTCCGAGCGATTTTACTCTATCCCTCCGCTCGCGTGGCTGCGACGGAGTCTCAACCCAGGGGCGGGGGCGCTAATCGGGCACGCTAATCGGGCTCGCTTGGTACACTAATCGGGCACGTGAATCGGGCGCGAATGCATTGGGAACATTCGTCATTCGTATCCACAGTTGCGGGGGCCTATATCTAGTGGCCTTCGGCCCATCCCGCCACAGCGCCTGGGTTGAAGTGAAAGACATGTGGTTTGACTGTGGGGATCTCTTCGGAGGCCTCGCGGAACCCTCTTGGAGGCGGTGTTGGGGTGCCTTCGGGCCTCTCGGGGATCTCGCGCGGGGCCTTTGTTGGGTCTCCTTTGGGCCTCTCGGGGGCCTCCTGGGGCTTCTTGGGAGCCTCTCCAGGGGCCTACTGGCAGTCTCGCGATGCAGTGGATTGTGGATCCAATGTTGTTTCGCTCTCCCCGTTGATGCCCGCATCGAGGGTGGTGAAGCAGGTGGATGACGACTGTCCTTGGACAGGTGCCCGACTGGGGTAGCGCGCGCGCCGCCATCAACGCCCGAGGAAGACATCTCCGGAGGCATTAGCGTGCAGGAAGGTAAGAAGGTGAATGGAATGGTTGAGGATTGGGATACAGTCGGACCGAGGTATAAGATCGAGGTCGGTTCGGAGAGAGTACCTTAGTGTTCTTCGTGCTTGCTTGATGTTCTTGTGCATCCTGGGGGAGGGTACCCTCGAATGCTCTCATTTTGGCCGGTGGAGGGTCTCATGTGCTTGAAGGATGCTATTTTGGCCTAGGTCCGACTGTAGTGGGGGAGTGAGAGTGCCCCGTGGTGGACGTCACCTGACTGGGGTCTGAGTCCGCTCTACGTGGGCTTGAGGCCCCTTAAGCCAACATGGCCCGCGGAGGGCCGCTGGAGATTTGAGAAGGATTACAAAGTCCAGAACAAGTCGAGCCTCGATCCTGGAACCCTCCTCGGCTTTCCCTCTCCTCCTTCCCGTTCCTCCTCCTCCTGCTCCTGCAGGGTCACGTGGCATCCAGCAGCTTGAAAGAAGCTGCGACGTCGGTGAATTTCCTTCGTGCACTTTTTTCGCGACAAACTACGTCTCCAATGGTGGTATATGATCTGCTCCCTGGCCACATGGAAGGAGGAGGAGGACGTCAAGAACAAATCGACTCTCTCACTTCTCAAGTTCGGCCCCTCTCGAGGCCCGTTTCCGTCCGCGGGAACGCCACAAACTGTGTCGAAGGAAACCCAATCCTTAGGGGCGGGGTCCGGTGGTCCCAGGGCCCATGTCACGAGCAAACCGTGACGTCGGATGTCCAGGGAGGGGGTCAGAGAAGGAGGACAAGGAGGAGGAGGAGGAGGAGGACAAGGAGGTCAGAGAAGGAGGAGGAGGAGGAGGACACGGAGGTCAGAGAAGGAGGACAAGAAGAAGAAGACGTGGGGTATAATTGGGAAGAGGAACGTGGGGGCCAAAGCCATTTTCAGAACGTGCGAAATCTGATCGGTTCCGACAGACGGCCAGCGGTGCTGGCGGGGGGAGGGCGTCCGACACGTCATATTGTTGCGTTGTTGCAGGCGACCTCACTAATGTCATCGCTGTCGCCACCATGGTCATCGGAAGAATTCAGTCGAAGTTGTTTTGGGTCAGGTCATTCCGATTGATCCTGACTTACGGGTGAGCCGTCCAGTCCACCAGTTGGTTTTTTGCCAGGACTGTTTTCGCCCATGCCGTCTGGTAAAATCAAGAACTTCTTCCAAGACAAAGGATTCGGCTTCATCACACCTGATGACGGAGGCGAGGACGTGTTCGTACATCGGAAATTGCATGGCGATGGACAAGATCGTACCGCGTATCTCGAAGAAGGCGATGCTGTCCAGTACGAGGTGGAGTGGGACGACCGCAGGAGCAAGTACAACGCCTCGTCTTGCATCGGTCCTTGGAAGACAGGTGGTGGCGGAGGCGGTGGTGGCGGTGCTCGGCTAGACCGAAAATGGGGTAGTCATCCTGCAGTTCCAGAGCATACCTTAATCTATCAGATTTGGGCGCACGGGGCGAATGATTACAATTTTATGGTCACTTTAACCCGCCCCGTGCCCCCACCCACCCACCCCACCCCACACCCTTCAGGCGCATGTTTTTATTGTTTCGAATTCACCCGAGGTTGGGGCGGCGGAGGTGGCTGGGGCGGCGGAGGTGGCTGGGGCGGCGGTGGCAAAGGCGGTGGTAAAGGCGGCGGTTGGGGGCCGTACTGAGAGCGAGAGGCGTTCCCTCCTTTGACTCATAATCATGCTCCTGATCCTCCTGCTCATGCTTCTCGTGCTGCTCCCTGTCCCCCCGCTTTCTCACTCAAATCCTGCAATCTCTCATTCGCTCGCCGGCATTTGCCCCCATGTGTCTATTCCGTTCCCGCTGCTGTTCTCCAGCCTATGACTTATTGACAACGTTGGTTGGCGTGGGCGCCAAGCAAATCGTCACCGTCATCATCAACCACGCCACAAGTACAGTCAACACAGTCTCAAGGGAGATCAGGATTCGAAAGGCGCCCTTATATCCTTCCCTTCCCTTCTCAGTGCATCCTCATTCCTCTCTTCCTCCCCCGCCTGTGGGAGGGGGGGGGTGCAAGAGTTTGACACCCTCACACTCGCCACGATTGCCGAATCCGATCACAATGATCCGCAGGCAGCTCAGGTGCTGACCCAGCCCTGAGCATATTCGCAGGAGGACAAGTCCTGATCGTGACATTTCTGGCTCAGCGGGTGTCAGGCAACAACCAACGATGAGCGCCCGTTAAGCGTTCGTTCAGTTTGCGCTTGGTCGGTGATCGCTCAGCATTTCCACGCGTGTCTCCTCCTCCCCGGTCCTCCCCCCCGCAGGCGTGGGCTGCGTGTTGACATTAATTTCGAGGCGGATCTAGCCGTGGCGTTGAGAAGTTGATTGGCGTAGCAGTAAGAGCGAACAGCTTCTACAAACATCAACCGTCGATATTCATGGTTCCTCCTCGTGGATCTTCCTCCTCCTGCTCGGCCAGTCGGTATGCTGAAAACGTTCGAAGTTCGCCGCCTATCTTAGTGCAGGGGGACAGTGACAGAAGAGGGCAAGAGTAAAGAGAGCAGCAGCAGAGAAACCATCAGGAGGCTCCCAAGCTTCCAGTGCCTGGTCCCCACCACCAAAAGGCAAGCGCGAGAAAGGGCCCAGGGGCTTGAAGAGGCCGACGAGGACGTCGTCGAGCGGCCGCCCAACCCCAACGAAGGGCCCCCAGGTTCCAGGGGGATCTCGTAGGCGATGGCAGCGGCGGCCGTAGCGTCAGTGCGCTTGACGTGCCATGGGGACGGCATGGTGCACGGTATGAGTCGACGGCGAGCGAGGGGGAGAAGTGAGAAGGGGCGGGCCTTCTCAGAAAGCTCGGAAGTCCCCCAGCCTTCTGAGAAATGTTCTAAGCCTTCCCCGAAGACACAGAAAACTTCTCCTTCTCATTTCCCCCCCTCGCTCGCCGCCAAATGAGAGAGGGGACGCGGGTGGTGAACAGAGTCCGCGACCCTCCATGTCGGGTCAGGGCATCGGGGCCCTGAGAGAGCTGTATGACCTCCTGCAGGTCTTCGGACGTCGGGCGGCTAGTGGAAGTGAACCCGGGGGGGGGGGTCCGTAGGCGACAGGTGACGCAGCAGGCTGCGCGCATCTTCACGGGGATGAGTGCGAGGCGTGTGTCCCCCCCGGGGATCTCTGGACCACCCGGGTCTTAGCAGCTGCGAGAGCGGGCCCTCCGCCAGAGCTCGCTGGGCGGGGGAGGCGCTCAGTACAGCTTGCACGCGTGCGCTCGTATGTTCAAATCCCCACGCGAGAGGCGAAGAGGGAGCAGACGACACCCAGGCCTCGTTTTGTCTTCAAGAGGTCGCACCAATGTCTGGCAGACACTGCGCTCTCCTGGCCCGACGGAGGGTAGGCGTGCACAAGGAGCGGGGCTTCCCCCGCCCGAATGCACTGCGGAAAGTCTCCCTCGCGTGTGTCACCCCCCCCCCCGCCCATGACTACACATTGTTCATTTCTAATGGTTCGAAGGTTCTTTGGTATTCTGTGGCCAAGATCCTGTCATTTCTAATTGTTCTATCTTGGGCCTCTTCCTGGCCACTAGGGGGCCAAGAACAACTAGAAACGAGCACAATTAGAAATGAGCACGATTAGAAATGAACGACGTGTACGACCAAAGGGGGGCCGAGGTCCTAAGAGCCTCCAGACGAACGGGACGGATCCGGCGGCGGAGGCACGAAGGCACGGGCATTGACTTCGACCCAGACGGGCGGAACGGGGCTTGGGATCGGAGTTGTGTCACTGCTGCACAGAGACGGTCCGTAACACTGGTTCTCGGGCTTCTCAGCATTATCGTGGAACTTGCGAGCGCGAATGATATTCTGCGCTTCAGCACAGCCTGATCTTCAGTGTTGAAGCTCATCGTCGCCCGCCCAGACGCGTTTGGCCAGAAGATGATCCCAGCAGCTTGGAACTCTTCAAACGTGGCTCACAATAAAGGTTGAAAGTGCGGAGTTGTTCAAAAAGTATGGGCACATGGCCCCCACAACACAGGGTTCTGGCTGATCATGGCCTTGGTGCAACTTGCTAACGATAGCATTCATCGCACGGTCTTGCAAGGTGGTAAATCCGAAATGGTAGCAAAGCATGATTCAGGGACTGCCCGAGGGGTTTGCATCAGGCAGCGCAAAGCCGCTGCGCTTCGACGACACAGAAATGCCGCGCGATTGATGCGAGCCGCCTGCACCTAACCAGGGAGGTGGCCGTGCCCTGAGATCTCCTTCTTGAGCAGTCTGCCTAGAGCAAGGTATCCCAGTATCCCAAACGGGAAGAAAGACAACCGAGCAAATGTTTAAACGTCGCCAGAGCCCATTGCAGTAGGCGCACAAAGGTCCGTAGACATGCCATCCTCATCACCATCTCGACCAGAAGCATGTGCACATCCGCCAGGATATCACGATCGGAGTGGTGAGCGTTGGAGTCGTTGCCCAATGGCAAGCCCAACACAAATCGACAAATTTCGAGGTGAGCTTCGCTCAGCGTTCGACCAGCACGGAGGGTCAGGGGGTCCCAAACACAGGCGTTGCAGAGCATGTTTGAGACCGCGTGGGCCTCAGGGTAACACACTTTTTGTGGGCATTCTCGAGTGCACGCCTGGGTGCGAGCGTACGCTGAATTGGCCGCAACTCCTCTTGCCCCCCTCGCAACCCATGTCCCCATGTTCGACGCGATAGTGCCCAGCGATTTGAAGCCTCGTCGAACTCCAACTGCCCAGTAGTCGTAGTCCAAGCCGTCTTTTGCACAGCACTGGATCGGGGGCCAGCTGGTCTAAAGTAGGAGGGCGCCTCTGGCACAGCTGATGTCGGTTCCTGTTTGTTTGGGACCCGATCGGCAACGGTCTCGGTTGCCCGTTGCTTTGCGTGCCACCGCTATGAGATCAGGATGGCGAAGAGCACCGCCAGCACCGTTCAGTTCATCCACGAACGAGTTGGTGTTCACAGATGTCGAAGGGCGGCGGCTGCCACGAAAGACAAGTGGCTCATCGTCGTTTGGTGACCGTCCCGGGCCCTCGGTCGAAGCCCTCTCGGGTTTCGGCTATGACTGGCGATAAACCCGCGACACCGCCGCACGTCGGCGACGGCAGCTCCGAAGTAGGGGAGGGAGGGAGGGAAGCACGGACTCACCAGGTTCATTATTTCCCGCGGGCGGGGCTCGGGGCAGGAGAGAGGGTTCGGCGGGCGCTCTGTTCAGCAGTATCCAGCTGGCTGTAACTGCTTCGGTCGCGCGCCTCACCGGTAGCTTGCCGAAGCGTGGATCGCTGATCGGAGGTGACACGACTCAGGATGGAAAGTTCGTCCTCTGGGGATCCTCGGGTTCCAGGGCCCAGTTCCTTGAGAGCCTTTTGTTTCCTCGTGCCAAATCCAGTAACGGACCACTGCATCCACCAGGCACCCCGAATATCTCGCGACTCGAGTGCACTAGGGCGTGGGTATGCACATCCAGTCAGCGCGCGGGTGGGAAGCTTGTGCAAGGTACGTGCGGAATAAGCAGCAGCAAGTCTGCTGCAAATGCGCCGTGACGCACAGTCCCATTGCGTCGTAGGGGGGAGTGCCATTCCATAGATTCTGGAGCGGTGCTCCCCGCAGTTGATTTATGATTCAAATATATATATATATATATATACATATGTGTGTAAAACATGCTTGAGGTTTTTCTTGCCCCTTTGTCCAATTCAGGCCGCTCTTTGGAGTCAAGAGTGGCCGTCCCCGGGGGGGTCGGGCGAAGTGTTAGGCCTGATACCTCTGCAGGGAATATGACTGAGGCAGGCCCAGTCCGAATTTCAGATTGGCCCGGTCCGACCTCTCAGATTGCCCCGTTCTGAATTCCAGATTGTCCCCGTCCAAATGTCTGATGTGGTGGCGCCGTTCGGACTCATGGTTCGTGTTTGGTGCCTGTATACCTAGGCCGAGCGAGGTCCATGGTTGCTGGCCCGCGCGGCTGCGGCGGAGAGATGGTATCCGGAGTCCCGATGCTCCCTTCGCCATGGCGCGGCATGCGGGCGCAAAAACACTGGACGTTGATGTTTCATGGCTGCTGGTGTCTGGCGACCACACTGCAGCCATCCATGTGCACCCCATCGAAATCGCGCCCCAGGGCCTCGAGGAGTGATGGAATGTGGACGTCTGCCCGCCGATTCCAGCGGGGAGCTGTCTCTGTCCACCGCTCCCCAGGGACCCTGGCAAGACTCCAGACTTCGCGGATGTGGACCTTGGCGATGATCTGAGCTTGCACGGCACCGCAGGGGCAGCCCAGGCCAGCCTACAATTGGTGATTTGGTGCTGGGTATGGTGCCCCCGTCCCATTGCCTTCAACCTTACAGTGGGGGCCCACGCGCTCAAACACCCCTCTTGCCTCCAGGGTGCCCTGGGTTTCTTGGGTGTCGATGGTTTTGCGATGAAAAGCGTGACGTCCCCGCACCAAAAATCAACGGACGTCCTGGGGTCTCAGGGTTGGTTTTCTTGTGAAAGGTTTATTGTGGATTGGCTCCCACTGGATGCCCACGCACCTCCAGGGTTCGCTTCAGCGCCAGACGTCCGTCGGGAAGCTTGCCCTGGCGGCCTCCTGTCGGCCGCTCCTGGCTGGGGCTGAGGTGGCCCTCGGGGGCCTCGGAGAAGGAGCTTCCCCCGAGGCACCCCGCCCAGGGGTGGACCTCCCCTCGGCTGAAGCCTCGCGGCGTGGACTGGCCTCCACTTTACGTCGGGAGAGTGGAGGCGTGGGGGCGTGGGGGGGGGGGGGGGCGGACCTCTGGCAACAGATACCCATCGGTCGTTGAAAGTGTATATATCTATATGTACACATACATACATATATATATATATATGTATGGTATATATATATATGTGTGTGTATATATATATATATCCGTAAGGGCTTCGCCCCCTGC